AATTAAAAAAAAATACCAGAAAGGGAAAGAATCAAAGCTTGGGCAAAGATATCAAGCACAAATAAAAATTAAGTAGGGCTGTTACCATTCACATCAGATAAAGTAGAATCTGCTAGGAAGTGGACAGCTCAGAGTGAAGGAAGGATTTAAGTGGTGCCTACATGTGGATGCAGGCACTGGCTTCCGTTCACTGAAGTGCAGATCTCCTCCAATTCTGGGCACAAGGGAGAACTGTGCTTCCTCAGCTCCAAAAAGTAACTTATGGGCCACGTGACTTGTTTCGGCCAGTTAAATGTGCCTGTAAGTCTCGCATCCTGGGTAGAAGCCTTCAGTTCCTTGAACTCCCAGCAGGCTCTCTTCCATGTCCCATCAATTGAGGAAAAATTCCTTGGTTTGGAGGTGCCATTGAATGGTAAGGAGCTGCCCTGGAGGGCTACCCAGCCCCACGACAGACTGTGCAAGCAGGAAATACAGATTTTAACCCACTGCAATTTTGTGGTTGTTTGTTACCACAGCAAAACTTCACATTTCCTATCTAATACATATACTAAAATTGAACCTTAATGTACCAAATAAATAACACCTATATGACTATTAAAATATAAGGACAAATAAACAGCATATCATTTCACTTATATGTGGAATCTAAAGAAATAAAACAAAGATAACAAAACAGAAACAGACTCATAGATATGGAGAACAGCCTGGTGGAGGGGGCTGAGTGAAGGGTGTGGGGGCTCAGTGAAACAGGAGAGGGCGATGAAGAGGTACAAACTTCCAGTTATGGAATAAATAGTTCACAGGGATATGATGTACAGCATGGGGAATATGGTCAATGATATTGTAATCATTTTGTATGGTGACAGATGGTTACTAGACTTATTGTGGTGATCATTTTGTAATACATAAAAATACTGAAACACTATGTTGTACTCCAGTATTCTTACCTGGAGAATTCCATGGGCAGAGGAGCCTGGTGGGCTACAGTCCATGGGATGGCAAAGAGTCACACATGACTGAGCAACTAACACTTTCACTTGCATGTTGTAACACCTTGTAAATCAATTATAAATAATAATAATAACAATAAAGAAAAAATAAGGATAAATAGAAAAAATCACAGTGAATTTTTCTAACACCAATATCAGTCTTCAGTGGGGCAGGAGGGACATGAAGGGTGCAGATGGTGTGGCAGGAGCCCCAGCGAGCCTCCAGACAAGCTCAGTAAAGATGTGAACGTGGGCCCACTCCTAGAACGGAAGATGCCGGTCACACAGCACTCACACTTTGTTTTGTTGTTTTTTAAACAATATTTTTATTTGTTTGCTTGGTTGTACCAGGTCTTAGCTGTGGCCCGTGGGATCCTTGATCTTCATTGCAGCATGCAGATTCTTTAGTTGTGGCAAGCGGGATATAGTTCCCTGACCAGGGATTGAACCCAGGTCCCCTGCGTTGGGAGAGCGGAAACTAAACCACTGGACCACCAGGAAAGTCCCCGTGCCATACTTTGGACCCAGTCAATGCTCTATCTCCTACAATCAAGGCAATCAATGGCCTCTGGGGAGGTGATAACAACCCCACACCTCCTGCAGGCCTCATTCTTGCAGGGAGGAGGTGTATGTAGGACCCCTGGCTCAAGCGACATCCCTCTGGTGCTTTGTGATTCTGTCTGCCTCCCACCCTACCCACCCTGCAGGCTGCAGGACCTGGGCTCCCCTGCTGGCTAGCTTCTGGTGGGTTTAGCCAACTGAAGACACCAGTGAGAGATCTGGGATGGGGCTGGGAGAGAAGCTGGGGTATTTCTGCCTCATTCCACCCTGCACTGACACAGCTCTGACTCCAGGACAGTCCCTCCCTTTGCCCCCAGGGAGAACCTAGCTTCCTACCAGCTCCTACATCACACCTGCCCACGCCTCGGTCGCTTTGCTTAAGCTTCCTCATGTGAACCATCTGAGTCAAATCCCTTTTCAGAGGAGACCCTGACTTTTGCTCCCTCCCTTCTTACATCATCCTTGACTTGGGGTGGGCTTCCTTAGTCTGCCCCTTGCCACCCGCCTGGACTAAGAGCGTTTCCTATGGAAGAGCAGGGCTCTGACTGGGTCCTGATAACATCCCCCCACCTCCACAGTGATCACCCCCAGACTGGCCTGCTTGTGTTCAGCCCAATTTTGGACCACCTGTTTGGCATCAGGGGAGGACCTCCCATGTTTCAGGCAGAGGCGGGGATGCTCGTGGAACCTGCCTGGCTGAGGACCTGGAGGCTCTGCCTCCCCAACCACCATCACCTCTATGGTAGGGAAAACACAGGCTTGAGAGATGGGGCCTGTCCTCCAAGTATATTCAGGAGCCCAAGGTGGGTTCCTGGGCCCCGCCCTGCCAAACAGAGCTCCTACGTGTTACCAGACACAGCATCAGGGAGTCTCAACCAGGCAGACTCCCCATTCCTCGCCCTGACTCCCCAACAACTGAGAGCTTCAGGGAAGGGAATGTCTTCCTCCAGGACATCCTGAGTCCTGAGGACTTCCAGTGCCTGAAATTCTTTTAGCTTCTGCTCAACCGGCCCCATCCTGGAAGACCGGGACTCCATGGGACCCATCCCCGGAGCTGGTCAGCTGGTGGCCACCCTGGTGCGAGAGAAGCTGCAGGTGCCCCAGGCAGCTCTGACAGTGAGATCCTCCATGGAGAGAGACGAGGCCGAAAGTTGGCCTGGAGGACCGGAAGCCTTGGACTATACACCTCAGGAAATCGCTGGAGGTTTCAAAACTTTTCCTGGGGCTGATGGACTATCTGTTGATCCTTCCCAGCTTTCCAGCAGAAACTCATGGCTGGGCTGACAAGGAAGCAGTTGGAGGACTTCAGGTTTAGCTGTCAAAGGAGGACTTGCCTGCTGGAAGCATCCTCAGACAACAGGTGAGGGGCTGGCTTCCACTGGCGGAAGGCTGGATTAGCAACAGAGAGTCATATGTGTTGTGTGTGTATGTGTTAGTAGCTCAGTGGTGTCTGACTCTTCGAGACCCCATGGAGTAGCCGTCCAGGCTCCTCTGTCCATAAAATTCTCCAGGCAAGAATACTGGAGTGGGTTGCCATTCCCTCCTCCAGAGGATCTTCCCGACCCAGGAATAGAACCCAGGTCTTCTGCATTGCAGGCAGATTCTTTACTGTCTGAGCCACCAGGAGAAGCCCATCATGCGTGTGTTGTTTGTAGCTGATTCAGGATGAGAGCTACTTAGGAGGAGAGTCTGTGGTGCTTGGGCCCCAGGATCCTGGGTGTCCAGATACCGTCCACGGAGAAAACCTTTTACTTCCGGTGGCAGCTCCTTGAATCCCAGAATTCTCCGTTCCTTGTGTCTGGGCTTTGGAAGATATGCCTGCCTCCCTACCAGTGAAGCCCACAGTGGACCCGCCGCCTTCCTGCTCCTCCTACTCTGGCAGTACCCCTCAGCCTCCTCTGGCAAGGGGTCTGCAGACACCACAGCAAACTGAGGCACTGGCGAGCCCTGGATACGGCAGCCCCTCACCCTCATTGACCTGGCAACTGAGTTCTGAGCCAAGGAAGCGGGGTGAGACCGAGGAAGAGAGCCAGCCCCTAGTGAACTCGGCTTAAAGAAGGGCTCCCGGACAGTGGCGGAAATCAAGGGGTGGGAAGAAGATCCTGTGTCTCCCCAGCTGGAACATGACTTCAAAGCTGTTTCCTTACCTAGGTGAGGTCACTGTGTTGGCCGTCTGCCCACCCGAGAACCTGCTGCTCAGGGAAGAGGGGTCACGGGCTTGGATGTCAGCGGAAAAGCCAGATGCCACAGGCCACTTCCCTACCCTCAGCAGCAGCAGCATGGGGCTTCTCGGGTAGCTCAGACAGTAAAGAATCTGCCTGCAATGCGGGATACCTGGGTTCGATCCCTGGGTTGGGAAGATCTCCTGGAGGAGGGACTGGCAACCCATTCCAATCTTCTTGCCTGGAGAATTCCATGGACAGAGGATCCTGGCTCCACTGGCCCTTTTGCTACCCCCATCCCCAGCCAATTTTCCTCTGGAGACACTTGGACAGGCCTGCTGACCCCATGATCTTGGGGCCACAACCATGCTGGATCCCCCTGAGAGGAGTCATGCCCGCCTGGCGGAACCAGCCCCAGAGGCTCTATTCGTCCTTGTTTTCACCAAACTAGGGACAGAAGGCAGACGGGGGAGCTGCCCAGGAGAGGCACGTACCAAGGATAGAGTGAGATTAGCTTGAAGTGATTTAAATTTCCTGATGGCTTCAGGAGAAGAGATTCTAAATATTCATAATTTCTCATGCAAAGCTCCATGGGGCGTATAAGCCAAAATTGTGAACAGCTTTAGGTGAAAAGAAAACCCACATCCCCCTCAAAAAGCACATCACATGATGGAAATAGGAAACCAACCAGAGAATATGTTCTTTCTTTCTGAGATCCTTGGCCTAACCCCTCTGAGCCTGGAGAAAACCACACCCCATAATTCCCCAAGCTGAGATTCATAAGGTAACCAGATCCACTCCGCAAGTAACACAGGAACCTTCTAAATCTCCCCAAAGCAGCAAGGAAATTTTCAGTTATTTGTTTCCTCTAATAACAGAGAGAAGATGGAGTACAATTAGAGGGCCCTCCGTTAGCTAAATTTAATTTTAATTTAATTCACCATATCTGACTTCTCAGCTGTCCAGTGTCCTGAGCAGAGCTTCCTGACATGGCTGAGCTGATCAGAATCACTTGGGACAAAAGCCACATGGCCAATCCTATCCTGGGAGACACGGATTCAGTGGATCAGGGGGTGGGTGGGGGAAGGAATCTGTATTTTTAACAAGATTCCTGGAGGATTTGGATACAAATCAATCCAGAACTGGGAACATGGCTGCTAGATCCATTCAGAGGCAAAATCCTTGTCTCCACCTCTTCCCTCCTCCTCAGACTCATTACTAAAAAAGAAGTGTCATGAGTAAATAAAGACAGCTTTCAAGATGTTCATGGAATGAGTTTTTTTTTTTACATTTTTCAACTAGTTAAGACAAAAAACATGACAATGATTGACTTCTTTCATTTAGTTACATAAATAAAATTTTTATAAATATCTCTTTATAAACAATATAAATAGCTTTACAACATAAATACATTTATGCATGACATGAATTTACAAACAGCAATGTTTTACAGCTGGTTTTGTCAGTCTCTTCAAAACTGTCCCTTGTCATCACGTTGGTGTAGGTGTGTGTGTTTCACGTATATAATATATATATAATATATAAATTTTTATTTTTCATTAAAAAAAAAACCAAATGATAAAATCATACCCCCCTCCCTAAATAATCATAAAACAGCTGGTGTTGTGTATTCCCAGTACCAGGAAAAAAAAAAAAGAAATGTAAAAGCCACATTGCGCTGGAGGTGCTTCCAGATGCGAGGAGGCTGATGACCAAGGGTGACCTCAGCAAAACGCAGCAAGTCCCCAATCCTGAAACAAAGAGGGCCAGGGGAGCTCAGCTGAGAAAGCCCAGCCTACAGGGCACATCTAGAACCTTCCCCCCACTCCAGCTATAGCAGGAGGCACAGTCCCTCCACCTCTGCCCTACAGGCCCCGACGGAGGCCTTGCTGCAGAGGGATAAGGCCCTTTCACTCAGGTCCTCCCCAGGCCCTCCGCTGTCACCAGATGTGTCCTTGGCACCTCCTGTCCAAGCATAGGTGGAACCAGAAAGTCAGCCAACCCGCGGCCCCCTCTGTCTAAGCGCAGGTCTTGCCCTGGGTGCTCAGTGGGACACAGTGAGGGAAGGGGAAGGGAAAATGCCCCCGCCCGCCCCGTCTCCAATTTTAGCTACAATAAAACAGTCAGTCAGGTGCTTGTCTTGGCTTTATAGGTCTGGGGGACAAAGGAGGGAAGGGGGAGATAAGCGGCTGAAGAGTGGGGAATTCTGGGTCCAAATCCCAACTAGGACAAGTACTTCCGGGATGGCTCTGGAGAGCTTTTTAGGCTTGCTTTCCTCACCCATAAAATGGGATAATAGCCACCTTCCAGGGTTGCCACACAGGGCACTGGCAGAATGTCTGGGTCACAGCGGCCCAGTAAATAGCACTTCCTTCCCCAGTTGGCTTCTCCTCAGAAAGGGTCCCTTTCAGAAGCAGAGGAAATGGCGTCTTGCACCTGCCCTGGGGAGACGAGTGGTTGTGCTGGGTTAGCAGCTAGTGGGTGTGAGGGTGAGCGGGTGTGAGGGTGCCCCAGGACTGGAGGAAGGCCACCTCAGAGGTAGGGTGGTGGACAGCACGGGCAGAGGGACCCTGGGCCTCAAGACCTTGGTGAGCTCTCCCCCAGCCCCCTTCTCTGGCCGTCCCATGTGTTTAAACAGATGACAGATGTCTGTGAGGTGTTCATTCAGGCACCCTGCACACCTCATCTCTGTCATTACCATTTTATAATCAAGGCTATAACCATCAGCGACAGTCATTATGGCGGCTGGTTAGAGCCAAAGTCAACTCCTGAGTGGAGCCACTGCTTCGGAGAGCTTTCATCACTGGGGAACCCTAAGCTGTCTTTCTCTTTTTAGCCCAGACAGTGAGATAGCTAGCATCTGTTGCTGCTAGCAACAGGAAGGATGCTCTGCCTTCTCTCGGCAATAGGGGTGAGGGTGGGGCTGAGACGGTTGTGGATATTGGAGGTTAGTGTCAGCTAAAAGAGAACTTCCAGGAAGTTGACAAATTTCCTCAGTCCAAGGGGTCAAGAAGTCTTAGCAACCTCGATTCCTCCTTCAGGGTCCTTCTCCCCACCCCCACCTGGTACCCACAGACAGCCACAAGGACTGTGGACAAGGAACAAGGGATGTGCACGGCAGGCACTTGACCTGATGCCAGGACCTTATCCCATCCTCTGCTAATTCATAATACCATTTGTTGGAATTCTCAAGTTGGAACTTGGTGCTTAAATCACAAGTTGAAAGTCTAAGGCCTGTGGCTCCATCTCTTCGTTGCTGAGATAGGACAGAATAGAACAAACCTATCACAATGGTAGCTTCTAAAGACTGGGGCACGCATGCTAGAATCACAGTAAGTTAAGATTTCAGACAAACGAAGCCCCTGCAGGAGAAGCACACAGCCTGGCCATGTCTGGCTGCAGAGAGGAAAGACGCCAGCTAAATGCTAGGGCAGGTGGGTGAGGAGTGCCCCTAAGTTGGGTGAGGCAGGTTTTGTGAGTCATCGACAGACATTTTTCAGAGCCCCTTTGGGCATCTTACAGACCCCAGATCATCGTTGGCTAGCATCTGGCCCTTAGTGTGCTCATGAGTTCATTTGGGGAGGTTCACAGACAACGATAGCTCAGGTGAGGTTTTCTGTATAGAAGCGTCAGGTGCTGTGCTGGAGAGCTTCAGAGAGGGGCGCTCTTGTCCTCTGGGGGGAAGTCAGTGTGGACACTGTGGCTTCTGGGATGAAAGAACAGCTTGGTCTGGAGTGGGACAGAAAGGCTGTGGGACAGGGAACGACAACAGCTGGCTGCAGGCAAGGCTGGACACCGGGAGGGGTCAGATTCTAAAGCAGCTGAATGTCAGTTCCAGAGGTTGGATGTTGTTTGTCCACGGACACTGATGGGCGGTGGGGATGGAGAGGATGGGGAAAGGAGGGAAGGACCTTGGCCCAGCACCTTGCCAGGATGCAGCGCTCGGCAGGGGCAGAAGGTAGCACGGGGGTTTCCAGCCTGGTGGAGGGGGAGAAGGCCATGCCAGAAACCCAGGTGTAGAGCCTAGGTGTGGTGGGGGTGGCTCAGTTTGGGATATGTTTGAGTTTGAGGTTGGGGCAAAAAAAAAAAGGATTTATTTTAGTTTCTGTTTCCTTGCTCTGAAATAGTGCCACGAACACTGAGGTTGGATCCTGAAGTCACATGGATTGCAGGAGCGTCAGGACCCTGGACAGGCCAGCTTGACCACAGCCACGGTTTAGAGACCAGACAAGAATCAGAATGCTCTGGGGCTGAAATGTTCCCTGGTGATGCTAACAAGTGGCTATTCTGTCTATTGGGAGGGGGCAGGTGTCACCCCAAGTCTGTCCCATCACAAGGACAAGACCCAGGGAGCCGTCCTGACCCCTGGGCTGCTTACTATCCAGCACCATGATGCAGTGGCTGGCAAATGAACTTACCCTTGACTTGTATGTATGCCCTTCCACCTTTGCTCCCACAAACCCAGGATCACCCCTCAACCTCACCCCTCCCTCGCCCCCTTCCCCCTCCAGTTGGAGAACTGGGGCCAATGCTGCTGGTTGCTTTGTGGTCCTGGGGTGGTGGGTGGGACCCCACCAAACTGTCTCTGATTCTCCAGAGGAAGTCAGATGGGTTCATCCATGCTGAGCCATTTCTGACCTTGCCAAAGTTCCCCGACTACTTTCCCCTCACTTTCTCCATCTGTAAAATGGGATGATAAAAGTCCCTGGGGCAAAAGTCAAGCACACAGACTCAATCCTATGTCCGGATGGTCGCGAGGAGGAAAGGTCCCAGGGCCACGGGATCAGAGAGGAAGCGGCCTGTGGGTGGGGGTGCAGGCTTGGTTCTGGGGGCTTCGCGGGGGTGCTGGGTGTGAAGAGCGCCCAGAGGCCAGGGTTGGTGGTACTCACCGCCGCCAGGGGTCGCCTCACTAACATCCCAGGCCGCTCATGGAGCCGATCCTGTCCAGCTTGAGGCCGAAGCAGCCCTTGGACAAACCCTTCTTGTTGCCTCCTTTGTATTTGCGCGCGTTGGGGTGCTCGTGCATGAGGCGGGCCCACGCCGCCCGGGACTTGGTGTCCACGCGCAGGTCCCGGAGCAGTCGCGACCGGTCGTCCTTGAGATTGGCGCCACCGCTCCCGGGAGTCTTGTCGCCCTTCTTCTGACCGCCGCCCGCAGCCTGGGGCTCGGTCCCTTCCTCGCCGGGCGGAGTTCGCGGGACCTTCCAAGGCAAAGGACGGGCAGGTGAAGGGACACACCGCGGCAGCGCGGGGGACTCCGCGGGGCCGCCGATGGTCCGGCGCGGAGTCCTGAGAACGCCTGTCACAGGTGCCGGGCTGCTTGGCCCTGCGTCCACCTGCCTCGGGGCCGCCGTGGTCCGCTCCCTCGGGGAGCCCTTTGCCCTCCTCTCCTTTTGCCCCCTTGCGGGGCTGCCCACTCTGGGGTCGGGGCTGCGCATTTGTGGACGCTCTCACGAGTCCGGGCTTCTAGGGCCCCCCAGCTGTGCCCCGCGCGCATCTCAGGGGAGAGAGCCGTCTTTCCGCTCTCACCCCCAACCCCGGTGCGCCACACCCTCCTAGGCACCCCAGCCCTCCCATTTGCCCCTCACAGGTTCCGACGTCCCCGCGAAAGAACCCACCTTCGGCGGCGCCCCGGGTTTGGCTTCGGAGGGCCGCTGCGAGAGTAGCGCGAGCAGCAGGGCGCAGGCCAGCAGCTGGGAGAGGTGCATGGTGCCCGCGGGGTGCCTGGGCGCAGACGGGCGGCAGCGAGGGTGCGCGGAGCCGGCGGGCCGACCGGCAGGCGAGCGCGGAGCAGGCTGGCCGGGCTGCGGTGCGGGCGCGGGTCCCAGTGCTTCGCGGCGCCGGCTGGGTGCGCTCTGAGTCCGCGGCTCTGCTCGCGCCTTTATAATCCAACCTGCCGCTGATGTCATCCTCCCGCCCACAGGGCCGTCCGGGCCAATGGCACGCGCGCCGAGGGCCGGGAGGGGGCCGCGGGGGCTCCCCCTCGGCCCCCACCCTCACCTCACCCTGGAGGGATCCCGCGGCTCGGCGGCTCTCTCCTGACTGCGCTCCAAGCTGCAAAGCGGCGCGCACAAGGGACCACGGATTGCAGGGAGCGCGCCCTAGCATGCCAAGCGTCCGTGCACCCGGTGCCCTGCGCACAAGCTTGGCCCTCAACCCACACGCTCGTCCTGGAAAGGATCAGTTTCCCTCTTTGCAGGTGCAAAGATGGGCTCAGAGGAATTAAATCACTTGACCAAAAGCACACAGCCAGAAAGTTGGCACAGTCCGAAATCCACTCAGAGCTGCCTTGTTGCTAATCTCTTCCCCGGGGCACCTGACGGGCGAGAGGCACCCATGCCTTGAGACTAGGGAGGCGGATGGTGGAGGTCGGAGAGAGAGGCGCAAGAAGAGAGGGATTTGCCCGGGGCCTCAGGGGGGAGCGCAAGCCCTACACCAGAGAATACAACCTTTTCGCCCGCGGGTGAGAGCAAAAAGCAGAAAACTGCGGGTGTATTTGAGATGCGAGTGTTCGTGCGTGTCTACCGAAGCCCCGTGTGCCCGACGCGGTGACTCTAAGCGCGTCCTCAGCCCGAGTCGGCTGCACAGAACGTCCCCGGGTCTGACCCGCCAGATGGCTCCCGTCTGCACCGGCGGGGGCGCGCCTGACCCGGTCTGCACCCACGCGAGGATCCGCAGCGTGGGGCTGTCGCGCCAGTGTCCTCTGCACCTGCCCAGTCTGGGGAGCGAGCTTCCCCCGGCCCCGAGCCGGGTCTGGCTTCTGTGAGCCCTAACAGGTGGTCGCGTTCGCGTTTTCTGCCGCTCAGTGGCCCCCGTCGTAGTTGTCGGTACGCGCCCAAGTACCCCTGCCGCCCACGACTCCTTCTCCTGGAAAGGGCGTCTCCGCAGGCTGAGGAGTCATTCGGGACGGGCGGCGGAGATAGAGGATCCTAAGAACTGAGTGAGGTGTGGGAATCTGACTCCGTGGCTGCCTCTGAACAGGACTCAGCTGGAGAGCAGAGACCAGGGGAGGGTGCGCTGGCGGTCCCAGGGGCTAAGACGACCCGGAGGGTTGGAGGCACCCGGATGACCTTTTTCGGGGAAAGGAAGCTGCTCCCCAGGCCTGAAGGCTACTGGAGTCAAGAGGGACTGGGAGAACCAGGTGTCTCCTAGTGGATCCCACAGCAGAGGCTGATGCAAAACCATCTGCTTTCTCTTTCCCACCCTGGCATTCTGCGCTGGAAAGTGCAGGTCCCTTTGTTTAGGAAATAACCTACATGTGAGGCCTGAATTTGGGGTAGCAGATCTCCTGAACTCCAAGATGACCATCAGCAGTGAGTCCTTTGTGTTTTGATGAGTTGGTTCACCACCTCCAGGCAGCCACTTTGATTGCCTGTCCATAGTTACTCCAGTAGAGTGGCACCACTCTTTTCATTTGAAGAGAAAAGAAGAGATACTGAAGAGGAAGAGGGAGGGATCTCCAGGTGGAGGCTCAAGTTCCCTCTCCTTTTTGTCTATTGGACAAACAGGAATGTTACCAACCTGGAACTTCTTTGAGATTTGCTTTGTTTATACAGGTTTAAGGAGCCAGGCAGATTGGGCCAGGCACAGGGTTGGTTTCCAGGGAGCAGCAGCTACATCCTCTGAAGCCCCTTATTAAGGATAGGTTGGGAGCTTCATGGGCACCGTCTTCTGTCTGAATATCCGTAGGCTGGTTCTTCCTGTCTTCTGGGTCCCTTGTTTGTACTTGGTGACGGCTGGGTAACCATCTAGGTAGGTCTCCTCTCTCTTTGAGCTTTGAGATTGCATGCAGTAAATCAACCCTACCACACCCCCATCCCAGGGTGGACAGAATCAACACCTTGGGCTCTACCTACCCCTGTCTGTGGAAGAGTTTTCTGGTGAGCCCTCACTTCTGAACACTGGCCTGTGGTCCTTTGGGGGCAGGTCAGATCCTGGAAGAGTTAATTGTGGTATGAGGCTTCCCTGGGGCAGATCAGGGTGCAGTTCCTGCTTCCCTGGGGCCTGAGAGGTGGGATGGATAGAAGTGGGAGGATGGTGCTGGAGGGACCTTCAGGGAAGGAGGTAGTCAGCACATGACTGCCTTGATGATGGAAGCTCCCTGCCCCTCCTGCCTATTTCCTTGCTCAGAAAGCTGCAGGGAAGGCTCTCTCTGCCTCCTGGGCTAGACCTGGGACTCAGGATTCCTTCTTCCTGCTTTTTCCTCCATAAGGTCTGCTTCTTCTTACTCTGTCCCCAGAGTCCAGGCCTGGGAAAGTTGGAACCATTGAGCAGCTGAACATGAGCTGTTTGTGGCCCTTTATTGAATGCCCAGTGTGATAACTCCTCTTGATGGCAAAGGAGAGAGAAAAGGTCAGTGGGCCACAGGAGCCTGACCGTTCTGTAGGGAATCTTGTCATTTGTCACTTCTCCATCCACTGATTCCCCCAAGTATTCACTGAACATCCATGCAACATGTAGGGTTCCATCCTGGCAGCCCCCACTCCCAATCCCCAGGCAACAGACACTAGCTTTGTGGGCTGAAAAGGACAATGGCAGGGAGACAGGCAGTTTCCCCAGCTTGGGCTAGGAGAGCAAGCTTCCTGGAAAAGGAAAACTGTGTGCTGAGCCGGGAAAGGACACCTGGCAGGCAGGAGGAGAGAAAGGAGAGGAGGGAGACGTAGATGGAAAACAGAGTGACAACTTTTGGGTTAATGGAGGGGGCATGCATCCAGGCTTAGAGGGGCAGTAAAAGAAAAACACGAGTACTCAGACCTAGGGAAAGAAAGTGGGGGAGGTCTTCTGGTAGGAGTGCCCAGAGGAGGGCAAACTTCCGGAGCCAGGCTGGTAGGTTCTAGAGATAAGGAGATGGGATAAAGAGGGGGAGGGGCTTGTCTTCGAAAGGTTGGGGGTGTTGTGCTCCTGAGGATGAGGAAGGCAAGCAAGCATAGGGGGCGGGCTTGACCGATGGGGCCGAAGGAGAGTGATCAGTTGTGGAGGGGACATAGAGAGGGAGTAGGAAAAGTCAGAGTCAGGCTGAATTGTGCCAAGCTCCAGGCATCCAAAAGTGGCATGCCTGGGACCTCTTCTTCCTCCTGAACCTCTGAAAGGTGGGGGCACGGAGATAAAAGCCTCCATTCTTTTTTTTAATTCATTTATTTGGCTGCACCAGGTCCTAGTTGCAGCATGTGGGATCTAGTTCCCTGACCAGGGATCGAACCTGGGCCCCCTGCATTGGGAGCTCAGAGTCTTAACCACTGGGCCAGCAGGGAAGTCCCAAGACTCCATTCTTATTGGCCCCTCTTCCTTTTTTCTCCTTCCTCCACAAGGGCAAGGTTAGATCCTTGTGCCTACTGTGGATTGACCCTTCCAGGGGACAACTGATATTCAGTCCTTTACAAGAACCCTGTAGAAATGGGTGGCTCATTGGTAAAGAATCCACATGTGGCGCAGAAGATGCAGGAGACCCTGGGGTTCAGTCCCTGGGTTGGGAAGATCCCCTGGAGGAGGGCGTGGCAATCCATTCCAGTATTCTTGCCTGGAGAATCCCCATGGACATGGACAGAGGAGCCTGGTGGGCTACAGTCCAATCCACTCCAGTATTCTTGCCTAAAGAATCCCATGGACAGAGGAGCCTGGCAGGCCACAGTCCATAGGGTCTCAAAGAGTTGGTCTCGACTGAGCACCCATGCGTAGAGATGAGAGGGGGCCTTGATGAGATAAGAGAGGTGCGCATAACATTTTAGGAGGCTGGGGAATGTGTGGCTAAGAGAGGATTGTCCTGCCGCCTCCCCAGGCTCAGTGTAACAGCGCCCCCTCCTGGTCCTGAGGAGGACTCTCAGGCACACAGAGGAGGGAAAGACTGCTCAGAGGTCCATCTGTTTTTCTCTGCAACTATTTCATCCCGAGGGGGCCCCCTTCCAGTTGCATAACTTCCCAGAGAGGACACTGAACAGGCGGTGAGCATATCTCAAGGAGGCCGGGCCGGGAAATTGCAGTGGGACGCTCGCCAACCCCATCACTGCATGGGGCCGTCAGTTTCACCACCTGAATCAGGGGGAAAATCTTTCCTTGCCTCCTGGATGGGGGCAGATGAGTCTGGAGGCCCCGTCAAGAAGTTTCGGAGCCCTAGAGGAAGGCAGGAGGAAGCAGCCAGGGCGGAAGAGAGTTCTCAATGTCAGTGCACCAGACATACCCTCCCAGGTGGGAGGGCCCTGCACCCCTGAGACTCCCAGATCTGTTGGTGACGGGGATCCACGGAGGGTGCAAGGGTACTGTCTGGTCAGGTCTCCTTGAGCTTGGACCTCTTCCAGGAGTCCTGCACCTATAGGGCCTGGCTTTAGGAGAGGAGCCAGAGGCCAAGGAAGCATCATCCATCCTTCCCAGGCCAGAAATTCCAGAAAAGCTTAACTTCATCATGCCGTGAGGCCTTTGTCTGACCCCAGGACACCCCCACCCGGTGAGCCAGCTGCCCTCTCTCTCCTTTCCCAGGGGCCCTGCCAGCACCTGCTCCAGATGGCCTCCAACCCCCGTGTCCGACGCTGGCCCATGACGTCAGAGTTTATCCCTTGCAACCCCTCCTTTTTTTCCTTTTCAAAAATAAAAGACAGACAGGCCCTGAAGATAGGCTCAGTTCCTTCGGGGTAGTGGGGGGTGGGGTGGGGACAACTGCTCCCTCTGTGGCTATCAACGACCAGGTGAGGGAGGAGAGGCTGAGGCCCAAACCCTGAGAAAGTGAACAGGGTGGTGAGGGAGAGGGACCTTCCCAGCAGAAGACAGTTCAGCATCCTGACCTCAGCGTGGTGCGTGCACCAGATGTTTGCAGAGGGAATGGATTTGCTCCCAGGCTCTGTGCCCTGG